CTGTGCACCCCGTTTCTGAAATGTTATACTTGGAAAAAATAAAAATCTCAAAATTTTGTCAATGGATAAGAGTAGAGATGCAGGTATACAGAAATATGGCAACATGCAAATTCCAAACCTAGTGATGGTTAATGCTTATTGTTGGGTGTCTGCTCATTGCATTTTAAATATAGGTTGAGTGAGAAAGAGTTACACAGTGAAGTTTAAGTTGGAAGTGGCACTATTGAAATTCAGCACCTAATCACAAGCTCATGTTATGCCATGAAATATCTTGGGCAATCATTCAAGCTTCAAACTAAATCATTTCAACAGACACAGAAAATCCATTTGCCTGAATTTCATGGATATGTCAACAGATTTGCTTCCAGGTTGGAATATTTTGCTGTCTTTCTGTGAAATGATTATCATATTGTGATATTTTCCCAAGAGTGTCTTGTTTGAATCCATTGCTGCACATTTTTTTCCTCTGTATCAAACTTTCTTCCTGCTTCTTGATTCCCATTCTCTTGCAGCAGCTTGCCTAATTTTAAATTCCTTTAAAACTATCCATTATCTCGAGTATAGGCCACACCCTAATTTTGTTTTAAAAAAGTTCAGGGAACACATGCATAAATATGGTATTCTGCAACTCCATTTTTAAGTTTCAATAATAAATAAATGACAAATAACTTAATGCAGTGGTTCTCAGGTGTGTTGTGGTTATGCTGATGCACACTGGTGCACTGCAAAACATGGATAAATGGATACAAATATGAAAGTATGTTTTAAAAAATGAGAAGAAACTAATTTGTACAAAGATTTATTACACCCACAGCCATTTAGAATGTAAAATAACTTATATTAATAAATTTTAAATTTTGTAAACAAAGTGTGCTAGAAAAATTTTTGAGAACTGACTCAATGTATTAAATTTTAATTATTTTATATATATTATTGTCATGTTTTTAATCAAATTTAGAAATATAGTCCAGGTTCTATCATCAAAACAGGACTTATCAAGTAAAAATACACCCTTTAATTATCTTTATTTACAAAAAAATGAATTTTAAATATTACAATATATTACGGATAGATAGCTGTAGAGAATTGTTATTTTAATGTTAATGTGAATTGTTGGACAGTTGAATTTACCAAGGCAATAAGGCATAGGTGTACTGTTGTACTGTTCTGTATTTGAATCTGGGTTGGAACCTTGGAGATTTTCAAATGATTTGATCCATTTTCTGTTTTGTTTACAACAGGTATTGTTCTTAGTTGCCTGGTTGCCTTTGTTATGGATCTGTTCAAATCCTTAATCACCACAAACAAAAGGTCCTTTTAATGTCTGCAGGACAGAAAAGGTTTTAAAAAACAATATGTGAATTTTTGCATGTACAAAATAATTTATATTAAAAAAAATATAGTTTATTACTAAATAATTATTTTACTTGAAAAAATAACATTTAGAAACTTGAAATTTTATGCTATTCACCCATAGTGGCCAAATTGTGGCTTGAAAGCCACATGCAGCTCTTCTAAACTCTTATTACAGCTTCAGTGTAGTACTATTATTACTGTACTAAGATAGGACATGCACAACAATGACATGCCAGTGTAAGTTTCAATGCTGTCAACTCTAATTGAAACAAAATATCTAAAAAGTGAAATAAAAATATATGGATCTCATAGGCTATATGCTATTATAAATTCTGTGAAAAAATATCTAAATGGGAAAATAAAACATCTAAATTCATTAGGCTACATGCTATAAATTTTGGGGAAAAACATCTAGACAACATTAAAAGTACTTAGATCTGGATACAAAATATTTAGATTGTCAACAGGAAGTGTAACAGAGGGGCTATTTTAGTTGCCAAATTGCTGTTTTATCTGAGGTTGCACTATTTTTACTTCTTGTATATTCAGCATTTTTAAAATTTTACCAAATAACAGGGACAAAATGACAAACAGGTCAGGATGCAGGGACCACATCATCAAACTAGGACAGTCCTGGTCAAAGAGGGATGTCTGGTAAGCCTACCTTATATGTACTGTACAGACTTGAGTTCAAATTGCTAGTCAGCATTTTTGGTTATTTTGTACTGTGCATTAAATTAATTTAATCTCCAAAATGCCAGAAAGAAACTGTGTTTACTGATAAATTAAAAAAAGGATTATCTATTTTCAAAAAAGTTTGTGATCGTATTGACAAAGAGAAATATAAACTTGCTTTTCAGAATTTTCAGTAACTCATGGTGGGCATTCAGGCATTAAAAATCACTCGAAATGTGCAAAACATGAGGCAAGCCTAGTAGCAGTGGAAGGAACTTCCTCAAATATATTGTCATATTCTAAAGGAACTGATTTATTTTCTGTTGTGAGTATTTTCACAAAATTGTTCTGGTTTTAGAAAAAATATTATTGTAAGCCTATATGTAGGTATCATGTCTCAAGTTTATAAAAGGAAATTGTATATACATGAGCTGCAATAAAAATCTAGAAGAGCCACGGTTTATCCACTGTGGCTATATGTGCATCAAATATATAGCCTCTCATAAATATAAGAAGAATCATTTATTAATAAAATTACAAGCCAGAACAGAACATAAGATAGACATGTAAGTTACATCTCTCTTCCATTTTGTCTTCTTTTGATGTTATAAACTAGATGTAACTCCTTAAAAAACAGAGAGAGAAGAAATAAAAAAATATTACTTAAAATTAAGTAATATTTATTGAACTATAAAGTTTCTTTTATCATATATTTTTCTTAAAAGCTGTCATTCCTAATAATTTATTGCTGAATTAGAACATTGCTTAGGAATTAGATATGGAATATTTTTTTAAATATTATCACTCAGTTGCTAATTATTAATGCATTATTCTAAACAAAAAATTTGAATTCAAATGTGTTTGATGTAGAAATGCATATTCCATTACAGGTTAGTTACTCTGATACATCCCTTGGGACCTTATAGATAATATACAAGGTATCAGTTCTGATTTTGTCACTAACGGTGCTATTTTTGTGACTTTCAACCACACCATTAGTTTCTTTGTAAAAAGTTACTTCCAACAAGGTTCTTTGAATTCTTTCTAACACCCTGTCCCTTTGGAAGACAGCAAGTTAAGAGGCCCACTGTTAATGGCATCCATGATTCTTATACACAGAGCTCTCATGTCTGATATTTTTGTAGCATACACATGATCCTTTACATGCCCACGAAGAAAAAGTTCAAAGATGATGTCGGGTGATCAGGCAGACCAAGGAATCTAGAGCATGCAGCAGTGGAAATCCAGATTGCCACTGTGTGGCAGTGGTATTGAATAACACATTCTATTCACTTATCTAAACAAATGGATTTTATAGAACAGTTTAAAACTAGGGATGTTTGAGGGAAACACCCTGTATTAACAGAAAAAAAAATGTATAAAATTACAGAGAAATGTTGAACGTGATAAATTAATATTACTTTTGAAGCAGTTGTTTAGCAATAAATCATATTTTTCACAAAAATTGTTGTTTTAATCTGGACACTATTTTAATATTAATATAATATATTCTTAGAGAAAACTTAAAATAATGGCAACAATAAAAACAAAACTATAAAATTTATTATAATTTCAATACATAAAAGGCTCCGTGAGAATAAAATATAATAGAAAAATTGCTTTGCCAAAGCTTTTTATATATAATATAAATTTTTATGTCTCCGTAAAGAAATTTTTTCATTAAATTTAATGTGAGGTGATTTAAATTACTTGTTCCAAGAGGCAGTCTTGTTTCAGCTATTGGGATGTATTCTAACAATCAGTGTGAGAAAATTTGAAAATTTTAGATGATTAGATGATTTAAGTTTAAAAAAAACTTTCTGTATGGTGTAATTTATTTGAAATCTTTAAATTCAAGAGAAGAATTGCACTTTAATTATCACAATAAAGTCAATTGAATTCTTGTCTATTATTCCATTTTTGAATTCAAATGTGTTTGATGTAGAAATGCATATTCCATTACAGATTAGTTACTCTGATATATCCCTTGGGACCTTATAGATAATATGCTAGGTATCAGTTCTGATTTTGTCACTAACGGTACTAACGGTGGTTAATAGTTCATAACCCAAATCTCTGGTTTACTTGAAACATGTTTCAAGTAAATTCAGGATATGAACTATTAACCAAAAACAGAGTAGTAGGCAGTTTCAAGTAAACTGGAGATTTGGAATACAAGCTTTCTTTAGATATCTAGCAGTTGACTTTCATCATAAGTATAATTTTCTCTTGAAAATCTTAAAATTATTAACATTAAAACATCTTTTAAATTACTTTTAAATTGAAAAACATTAAGGAATATGCAAATATAAATATCTAATAACTTGATTCTTGATTAATATTAAACAGTCTGCTGTATTATATCAGGTTATATTATGGCTACATAATACAACTTGATGTAATAATTAAGTATTGAGTAATTTTGCTTAGAGGTATGCAAGTCCCCATCGCGTGATAAATTTAATAATTCTAAATTAAATATTAGTTTATTTATAAAGTTCTGAATTGGCTCTGAGCAAAACTCGAATCCACAACTTCTGCATACTGTGTAGATATATTATCAGTTACACTACTCAGACTTTGGTTCAATCTTTGCTTCCAGAACTAAATTAAATATTACTTTATTTATAGTTATTAAATTTACTATGAGATGGTGACCTAATTGCCTACCTCTAGGCAAAATTACTCAATATTTAATTATTAAATGTAGCCCAATGAAATCCGGCAGATTGTTTGTTACTAACTTGTAAGAAATATTGAAGATTAAAAGAGTGATGAAGGTTTTTAATGTCTACAGAATTAATTATACAGCTTAAAAAGTTCACAAATGATAAATTGCCTAATAAAACAATATTTTAGCATTTAATGCAAACATTAAATAATATAATCACATCTAGCTTACATATTTCCAAAAATGAGTATTACAAGATGTACTTATATGTGATCACTTACCATTTTTACTTCTTTAGGTTCATCGCCTGCACCCATTTCAAGATGTATCACATCACTCCTGGTGAATATGACGAGTTTGTTAACATCATCCGCAGTGCCCGGTCAGCCTTTCAGTTGACCCCCGGTGGCATGGTACAATTTAATGAACTGCTTCAGAGTCTGCGTCGCTCCAAGTCGTGTAAGAAGGAGTTATGGCAGCGGATTGCTAATTCACTAGCTACTGGAAGCATTTGATGGATGGATGCTAGTAGATTTGCAACAATAAGAAGCAGTATGACCATAAATACTCCAGATCATACTTGTTTTAAAAATTTTGTGATGTTTGCACCAATATCTCTGTTGAACGTTTAGTGCATTGATTGTAGTTGTTTTTGTAAAGTGTTTCACTCTGCTGCCATAGGACAGTCATAGTTTATTTCAGAAAATTTTGTTAGTGCGCAGGTAAGCGGGTGGACGGATTGTGTTTCATTGGTGCGCAAGCACATTTGTTACCCGATGCAGACAAGCTCATACCGAAGTACAAGTTTCCATGGAAGAATTATTACCCCTCCCTCCCGTCCAGACTTCTCCCACCCGGCATTTTTAAACCTTTAGACTAAAATTTTGATGTGCTTAACCCATCTTTAGTTCCCACCCATCGTGCCAGGTGGAAGTTACTTTTACTAAGAAATAACTATCATATGATATAAATATAAATAAAATAAATAAATATATATATAAATATATATATATAAAAATACATATATATATATATAATTTGTTAACATTGCTATTGAACAGAAGGTTGTGGAGAAGATGGAACAGCAAAGTGGCTTTTGTAGTTATGTTTCCCCATTTGTACTTAGCTTCATACATTGCAAAGTCCAACAAAATTTAAATAATTTTAGTGTTCCTTCTGGGGAAGGCATCATTCCTTGTAAAGGATACATCTCTGGGCTTATTAGTATTTTTAAAAAAACTGTCATTGATCGATTCCCATCTTTTACACAACAGAAGATTGTGCCGTTAAGATTGCTTTGTCTGGAATGAAATGAACCATTCTTCTGTTAAATCTTTGACAATAAACTAATGTTGATATATGAGTGTGACTCTTTTCTTTGTATATAATGGGATGCTTGTATCCCTCACTTATCTTTAAACTGTAATATATTTTAATAGTAATGAAAATATGATGATATCTATTAATATTATTTGAGCAGAGACTCTAAACATAAATTTTTTAAAATTTGTTAAAATCATTATTGCTAGTAATTGGTAGATTTACCAAATTGAAACAATTGGTAGATTTACCAAATTGAAACTAAACATCAGATTAGTATAATAATCATAAAGTTCTTTAAAAATGCCTTTCATAAATTAGACTTTTGGTATTTATTTTTATTCTTTAATATATTTTTAACAATTAATTTATGTTAGTTTAAAACAGGAACAGATACTTACAGCATTAAAGATTTTACATGGAAGAATAGAAATTATTCTAATATAAAAATATATGTTAAATTTGATACCATGTTGTAATCAAACTGCTAAAATCAGAAAATCAAATTCAATCTTTAAGTAATGTCTTTGACCATTCTACAGCCATTTTCTTCATACATACTGGGTTGTGCCAGACTCTCAGTTTTCTAGAATTTTCCCAATTTGGAACACTTTGTCCCTACTGGAAAATTTTTCCCGTGATTTGTTCATTTCTATAAAAAATTATACCAATTTGTATTTTGAAAAAGATCAAATAAGAATGGTAGGCAATAGGTGTCATGCATGTTGCTGCTACATATCTAATGTCGGTTATCTGTAGATTTTTATCAGTGTCCCTATTTCTGGTTTTGACTTGCAGCAATCCTACTCACACAACAAATATAAATCGATGATATACATTCCAAAATATATTCGTTAAGTTTAGAATACAGTCATTATAGTTAATGAATCGATTTTAAATTTATGCTATACTTTGTCATTTGTATTTGTTACAAGATGAGGATAAAAACATCACTTAATAATTTTGATTTTCTGAATTTAGTTTAATTTACAATATAAAACTGCTTTTAATAGTTGTCTATAACTGAAATTAAAATGATTGAAATTTATTATCATAGGTAAATGCAACCATACCATAGATTTTGTGTTGTTTCTTGCAAGAAATCATTCTATTTTTGGATTGCTTTAATTGCCAAAACATTTTACATCCAATGCAACACATTAAAAACACATTTTGATATTAACTATTCTATGGAATGTTCAAAATAAAAACAAAAAATACTTGAAGTTACATCCACTGTGTTAGAAAACTGACCAATGGAAGGTTTGACCTTCTTCTATTGATCAGTTTTCTAATACAGTGGATGTACCATAAGGTAGATTTATAAGGTATACCCTTATAAATCTTCCTTAGAATAGTGCTCCCTTGTGCTTACTGCCAATGTACGAGATCTGTTCAAAAAGTATCGGACCTTTTTTTTTCCACGTAAACCAATGATGCGCAGGAGGCCTCTTTCGGTGGAGTTGTGGAGGGGACAGTCATGCACAGCCCTGAATTTTTTCCCGCCTGCAGGAAGCATCAGTCGTTGGCAATCGGCCTATGAGTGACTCCTTTAGTGGAGTTGTGGAGGGGACAGTCATGCACAGCCCTGAATTTTTTCCCGCCTGCAGGAAGCAGTCGTTGGCAATCGGCCTATGAGTGAAATAGTGCGCTCTCATCGGATTCCACTAAGCTGGAAAATGACTGAACAACGTGAGCAGCGATATTACATCAAATTTTGCCAAAAACCTTGGCGATACCCAAGTGTAAACCATTCGAAAGATTCAGCAGGCTTTTGGGGACGATCCTCGAGGCCAAAAAAAGCGCGGTAGGTCCGCAGCAATATCAAAGGTCATGTTGGCAGTTTTTTCGACTCTCGTGGGGTGGTGTGTCATGAGTACGCACCACAAGGCCAAACCATCGCAAAGGAGTACTACCAGGAGGTCCTTCGTCGTCTTTCCGATACAGTGTGACGCAAACGACCGGATCTGTGGTCGATCAAAACTTGCAGCTCCATCATGATAATGCATCCGCCCATTCTGCGCATCTGATTCGGGCTTTCATCGCCAAACATAACACTCCTGTGGTTCGTCACGCTCCGTACTCTCCCCACATGGCTCCGTGTGACTTTTGGCTATTTTCCAAGCTGAAAATGCCACTAAAAGGAACCCGAATTTAGTCGAGAGAAGACATTGTGCAGAATCCGACGGACCGGCTGATGGCCATTCCAAAAGATGTGTTCCAGCAGTGTTTCCAGCAATGGGAGGAACGCTGGGAGAAGTGTATACATTACCAAGGAGACTACTTTGAAGGGGATTAGGGTTTTGTACCTCAAAGTCTATAAATTTATTTTTGCCGACCAATGGTCCGATACTTTTTAAACGCACCACATATAAATGCTAACAACACTACTCACTCAATCAGCCAATATGGACGGCTCTATTATTCAGTGCTCTGTTAACAGGATTCCCACTAATGTGAAACATAGGGGAGAAAATTGGGAACATGAAAGTGTGCTCTCTTAAGCAAATTGCTCCCGTATTCAATGCTCTGTTATGTGGACTCAACTATAATTTAAATTTAAATATATATATATATATACACACTTGTTGCCATAAAAATTAGGGCACCAAAAAGTTGTTGTTGGAATTGAATGAAATTGTACTTGTGTGAGTGTAATGGTGATTTCAAAATGAAAGCAAAAGGATCATTTATTGCAGGAAAAACTACAAATGAAAGGAGGTACTAGTATTCAATTAGAGGTGGCCCTGGTGAGCCACCTCTAATTGAATACATGATACAGGCAGGCATGGAAGAATGTAGGTGCTGTATGGTGTTCTGCGGCAGCTTGATTCACAGTTGTTGCAAGCAGTGCTCTAGTTTGGCAAAACTCCTATGCTGTCCAACTTGGCATCTCAGGTGATTCGATTAGTAAAAAATCGGGACTGGGCAGACCAGGAACGTATGGCAATGTGGGAGGCAGTCCTGTGACACCCTTGCTGGTCGAGCATGACCTGTTGGAAAATGGCTCTTGGAAGGTAATGAGAGGTAACACATGGCTACAAATGTCACTAACATGCCATTATGCTGTTGTGGTCCCTTGGATCACCTCTCCCACAGCTGGTCACGGATGTGACCAGCTGTGGGAGAGGTGTGCCACTCCAAGGCAGGATTGACACCTTTACTACAATGTCTCCAGACATGAACACAATTGTTGTCAGTGCTCAAACTGAATTTGGATTTGTTGCTGAAACAACCCAGTTCCATTCCATTGTGATCCAATCCCATCAGGAATGACACCCACTCCAGAGGCGATGGTGGGTGTCTGTCAACAGCAGCACACACAATGGCCACGGCAATACCAAATGTTTCTCATCCAGGCACCTCAAAATGGTACAGACAGACACAGGGATCTGTGATGATGGTGCCACCTATGTCTGGATGGTGGATAACAATACAGTCGGCTGTGTGCATACTTATCTAAGAACTATGCAGTTCTCTTGGCTAGTGGTCTGCCAAGGGCACCATGTGTGCCTCTTGTCCACTGGTTCCAACACCACCTCACAGTGTTTTCAGAATGGCCTAGGTGGCAGGCTATTTGGCAAGATGACCAAACAGCTTCTCTTAACCCAATGATCGTTCCCCTCTCAAACTCATTGTTCATATGGTCTTTGATTGCAACATAAAGGCATCTTTAGTGATACAACATCTCTGCAACAGGTAAACTGCAGACAGAATGCCTTTGCACACTTTTTTTATAGGCAAGGGGGCAAAACTTTAATGACATTGCTAGCATTATGCAATGAGTCATCACTCTATAACTATAATCATTTCCATATCTGTTTGAGACTTATCTGCATGCCAAGTTTTGCAGCGATATGACAACTCCTTCTTGGTGCACTAATTTTTATGGCACAATATATTTTACAAATGTATGAAATGTTAGAAAAGTAAAAAGGTTGCAGCTAGATTGTGATGCTGCTTTGCATGTGGTGCTCTAGTGCAACACACCACTTTGCCATCCTGGTTGGTGCGGCCCTGTGATTAGCAGACATAAACTTGCATGCATTGCAATCACTATGGGTCCTGCTATTAGCATCCCAACATCAGCTTCATTTGTAGTGGTGTCATGGCAAGGAAGTATGGACTGTTACAGACTGGCAGCATATTATTGTTAGCAATGAATCCTGGATCTGTCTGAAAATGTACAACTACTGTGTTAGTGTGGAGAAGGACCATTCATCAGCACTTCAGTCCCACTATTACTGTTGAACAACACTGCCTTCATTTCTGACATGCTGATCTGGGGAGTAATTTTTTTATGACTGTTGATTATCTCTAGAAGCAGTACAAGGAACATTGATAACACAGCAGCATGTTCCAGAAATGCTGCACCTTCATATGTTTCCTTTCATGGCAGGGCTGCAAACAGTTACTTTTCAGCAAGGTAATGCTCAGTCACACATAACTATGGTTTTCCAGAAAAATCTGCATCAGGCTACACTTTGTCAGCCTGCCCAGTGTCCAGATTTCTTGCCCATTGAGCATTTGTGGGACTAATTGGACCACCAGCTTCAGTCATTTACAAGTGAGAAAGCTGAGAGGCAGTTGCAACATATGTGGGTAACTCTGTTGCAGGATAGCATACAATGGTTGCATGCTTCCATGCTCATTTGTATCATTGTATGTAAACCAAGGATTGCCAAATTTTTTTGATTGTCGACCCCTACAAGTTTTTGAAACCTCACACTGAACCCCACCAAAAAATTTGTGTTACAAGCAAAACAAAGTACTTACTATTTTAATACGTTTTTAATTTTGCAGTTTTTTTTTCATTTATTGTATATTTGTTAATAATAATTTTTATAACTGACAATCAGTGAGATGGATAAGTTTGATCCTTAGCTCCCCCTTATCCTTAGCTTAAGCTTGATAATCGACCTCCCCAATAATGTTATATCAACCACTTTGGCGATCCCTGATGTAAACAAACAAGAGAAGGTACAGATACTAAAGGTTGTTGTTACATAGGAAATTGATCTTTTTGTTACAATACTGTCA